CCTTCTTTGTTATATGTAAAGATCGTTTACATACTTAAATAGTTTAGTTTGAATTTTTTTATAAAGTATGCGCAAATTTGAATATGTTAGTGTATCTCTCTTATAAATGCAACTGTATGGCATGTGAAGGAGGCACACAAGAAGTGTATATAATTAGAAAATCTTTACTAAAAATTAATTAAAAATTTATTGTCTATAGGATTACTAAGCTCTTCTGATAGAAACTTAGTTGAGAAGGCGCGGACTACCAGCGTTTTGCGCAATCCGCTTTGAATTTCTGAGTAAAAAAATTTATGTGATTCAAGCCTTGAACTTATTTGTACACCAACACCCTCTGCCAGCTCGAAAATCCGGTGTTAATTGAAATATCATTTATAAATTAATAATAAGCTTTTTCTCGTCCGCATTAATCCGATAGTAAGCTCGTTCTTGACTTAGTAGACTGCGTAAACACATTTATACCATGCTTTAAAGTAATATGCTGACCTATCTATGCTTTGTTACATTACTGTGATAAAATTCACTTGAAGTTACTATAAGCTCTAAAACTAGCATGGGCGGTTGTAGTTAAGTTATTTATTCCATAATTAGCAAACTCGCGCTACCCTCTTGTCAAGAAGTGACTCTCTAAAAACTTTTAATGATTGTTCGTGTAGAAATTTTCATTTTAAGTTGACTGGGCAGGAAAGCAAGGCCTATCTCCGTGGTGAAAGGGTAGCTATCTCCGAGAATTTAGATTAAAGATATTTAACTGAAAGTTAACGATTAACCCGTATAAGAAAGTCTTATAACATTATTAAAAAAAATTTATAAACCTGAGTAGCTCTTTAAATAGTTCGTACTTAGTGTAAAGTATGAAGTAATTGTTATACTGTGTTTGCTAATCTCATTATTAAGTTTCCATGTTATATAAGACTTAAATCCATTAATAACAACAGTGAATACGTTCAGTTTAAGTTTATAACCTAAGTTTAGTAAGTTTTGCCACTGAAAAGTGTACGTAATATATTTATTGCCACCGCGGTTTTAAAACTAAAATAAAATAAAGCACTATTTTAATTTTGTCATAAAACATAAAATATTTATAATTCGCTAGTTTTTCCTTGTGTGCCTTAAAAGTAAGTGTACTTTAATTTTTGCAAATTAAAAGCGATGATATAATTCAAAAAAGCCTGTTCCATAAATTTTTTATTTATATAATTAGTACTTTAAAATAAGATATAGTTTACAAAAGTAAATTTGTGTATATTAGGTCATATCTTCCTGATCTTAAGTCATAAATGTATGCCTACAAACTATTTCTAGCCCTCAATAATGCTGTTTCACACCTCTAATTAGAAAGCCTTTCCTAAATAAGAATTTTTGTTACCAAAAGCATTGTAGCGTCTAGGAGTATTAAAGGGTTAAAGTGCCTAAAAAGTTATTTATCACAAAAATTTATATAATAATAAAATTTCACTTACAATTTAAAGTTTGTAATATTAACTAAGATCAAAAATACTTTCTCAATTCAAATGAAAATAAAATAGTCATTTTATACAATCGTATCTATGAAAACCGAATAAATGCTTGTTATTACCTAAACGCTTAGCCATATAAATACGCACAAATAAAACTTCAAAATGGCTTTATAAATAGACCCATTGCGGTTTTTAAAGGTTATTAATTCAATATATATTTGGTAACTCAAGTTTAATTTGTAAGCCTCCTTTATATAATCTAAATAAGGAATCTCTGCTTAATAATCATTTTAAATTTTGCTTATATGGTGTGTATCTTGTTTTTCTGATGCCTGGAGATTGCAAGCTGCACCTTTAGCTCTAATATATTACTACCCTAGCTATGTCCTTCAAAGCAGAAAGAGTTCGATTTGAGCTTTCCCTAACTTTTGTTTGTTTATTAACATCCATTGCTCTTACCATTATTGCACTCGCCACCTTTTCTTGGTCATATGAAAAAAGAAGAGGAACCTCTGGCGAATACTACGAAGTTATGTGGGGAGTAGCCGGATTTTGTGTAAACGATTACGTGCCTGCATCTCCTGGTACTTTGTCACCTCAGTGCGTTTGGTTTGAGAGATTCGACGGTTTTCCTTCAAAGATATGGGCAGCAGCAGCAAGTTTAGGAGTGTCCGCTGTAGTTTCCTTTTTTCTAACGTTGTTGCTAATTATACTCGGGTTGTATTTTGAATTTGCTAACAAAATGATTATATCATCTTCCTTTTTATCCTTCGTATTTATTTTTATTACAATACTTTTATACCCTGCTGGTTATGGGAGAAAGTACATAACGAAATTTCCAGTTGATGTCGATATATCCGTTGATGTGTGCTCAAAATCTGTTTATAACATCGGAGAATGCTCTGTGGGGTATAGCTTTATTTTGGCCATTATAGCTTCTTTTGCTGCACTAGGTGCCTTTGTATTTGGCACTATTAACGAAGTAAAATACGCTAAAGAAAAAAAGTACGGCCATGTCCGCTCTAGTGCATATACTTAATTAAAAATTTACAATACATTGACTTTTTTACTATTCTTTTTTTGCATTTATGCATGTTGCATTCGTACGTTAGGAAGATTATGAAACTTTATTAAAAATTACTAAGTAATGTGTTGTGACTAGAATCTAAATTATTAAAACCCTTAGTTATAAAAGCGGGCAAGTTTATATTTTATCGTTCCACTAGATAACATTTATTTTACCGGTTTAAAGATTTTATATTGTTTATGCGGATTCACACCAAGTTATTTTTTTAAAGGATTTTTTGGCGTTAATATTTAACGGTTGAAGTGCTTAAGAATCTACAAATCAGCTTAAAAATTAGAAAGACATTTTGAGTCTACAAAGTTAAGAGTCCAAATTTTCAAAGAGACAGTTTTACGTAAAACAAATTATACATAAAGAAATTTAATATATAATTATGCTCTTAGGCTAAGCTTAAAGCTATCATAAAAAAAAATGGAAGTCGCTAGTCTGTCTGCCAGTCAGGCTCTTTCACCAACGCAATGTCACGAAAAGTGGTATAGTATAAGAACTTGTAAAAAAATAGCCACCACATGGGTAAACGATATTTAATAAAAAGAAACTTAAAACTTTAGAATGTTTAAAATACGTTTTTCTAGGCGTCAACTATATAGAGCATAAAAAAATTATTGATAGAGACGAAACGGTGAAACAGTGGCAAATTGGCCAAATTTTTTAAAGGTCTATACCCTTCTGCTAAGTAGTAATTAATATTAAACGGTCCCACTGAACAAACTTTATGTTAGCGTAGGCACCTCATTTAAGTAATTACGGCTATCCGACTATACAAATTGAGTCTGACAGAAAATATATGTATTAGCTGATTGAAAGCTCGAGTATTCTAAGTTGTTAACTCGATCGAGCACCAGGGAAAAGCCATTTGTAAATAAATAAATAGTGCGCCAATATTGCATACCTCGACCACTAGTGGGGCGGAAGGTTGAGTAGAAGGCGGTTACAACTTTTCAGTCACCTGTCGTAATTTTTTGCACTAACACTATTTTCTCTTGAGTCCCGAAGTATAATAAAGATAATACAATACAAAATACTATGTATGATAATATATTAATATCACTAGCCCCGCGACGTTACTCAACGTAAGAAGCAGGCCATCCGCAACCACGCGATGAAAGAAAAGATCTCCTTAGCCAAGCCACTTGCTAGCTTACATACATAATTTTACAACTTAACCCTCACTAAGTTATATGCATTGACTAGCTACACACATTAAAATCTGTAAAGCGAGTCAGGATCGCAGCCATGAGCTGAAATTACCACTGCACAACGGTGGTAAAATAGTCAAAAGGGTTGAGGACAAGGGCTTTGCGAGCTAGTTTCCTTCAAGCTAGTTTTGGTGAGCTGCTCACGCTCGTCAAGGCGCTACCGAGTGGGTAGGCACTCATAACTGATGGTGGTATGCATTAAAAGCAAAATTCTGTTGTACAGCAAGCGAATGGTAAATGAGTTTTTAAAATAATAACTCCTTGACGCAAAATTCTGCGACTTTTTCGAGGCAAGAAAGTAACTTTACAGTGCTATAATCTTTAAGTAAAGAAGGGTGGTCATGGAAAAGTTTTCAGAATTCGGAAAAATTTGTAAAAGAAACATTTTCTTCAAATTAACAATGGTGTATGCGGTTATATGGAGGTGTTAAGCATCAAAATAGTTTTATAATCAACCTCTTGAAGTAGTGTATTCCAAATTATAATTGTAGTCTGCCAAGATTACACACTAGATTAATAAGTTTCTGATGTAGAAAACATTCAGTGCATCGATATATAATTTTAGACAATTAATTCAGCGCGAAACTAAGACGCACATACGATGAGTTTAATAGTAATATGGGCTATACAGATGTTAATGTTAAAGAGCAAGTAATTACATATTAGTTTTAAAAAAAAAAATTTGTATGATCCTGCAGTTAAAAGTTCTATTCTGGTTCTTCATTAATTTTGACTATACATGTAAGCATTTTATAATTAACACTTTATGAATGTTCTAACACAAAATAACCTTTTACTCTCTTTCAAAAGAAATCTTTAACCATATTATTTGATGTCCTTAGGACGCTGTATTTACTTTTCCGTCCTCTATAAAGTTCGCAGCAAAACTTTTAGCCCTATACAAAAAAACACAATGTTCATACTATCTAGTAATTAATACTTTTCCCCACCTTTTAGAAAAAAAATGCTGCCTCCCTTTTTTGAAATAGAAATTGTCATATATGTATGTAGTTTTTAGATAATCTTAATTAGATTGACAAAGCGAAGGTTAAAGGTGCCATCAAGAATAGTACTGTTCGCATTGAATTCACAAAAAATCTAATGAACATTGTGAGTAGATTAGCTCATTATAAAAACTTTCACAAACTTAATTTATCCTAACTTATTTCTTTATTTTATTGATCTTTTCTAGCTATTTCGGTTTTTTGAAATCTATAATACATTTAGAAAATTGATACCCCTATCGGATGGGAGGGTTGTGTGGTGTAATGGTTAGCACATCAGACTTTGAATCTGGGGATCGGGGTTCAATTCCCCGCACGACCTCTTTGGCTTTTACTTTGTGAGTGGAGCGGGGAGCATCTAAATTTTTAAAGTTCCATCGAGACAGACCGGTTGTGTCCTTTTAACAAACGTGTAAGCTCTAAGGAAATAAATACTAATTTTTCCAGAAGCATTCTTTAATTCTAAAGTTATTATAGGCCAACCAAAAGGTAATCCTTTGGATTGTATAAATATATACATTATATGTGTTATCGAGTAAAGTTATGGCCTTTAGCAGTAAACGTCTAATCCCGCTGAAGTAACACCGCAAGCTTTGTTTTTTTATATCTTATACCTCCTACTTTTTATTCCCAAGTCTTTAATAGAGTAGCTGAATTAATGAATATATTTAAAACCCATAATTCAAGTTTTAGTGATAATTTACTTTAGACTGGTGGGAAAATTTAGTATCACTGCTTTTACGCGAAAGCAGTTTTACAACGACAACACGAGTTAAAATTTTACATCCGACTTTATTATAAATAAAGTTAAAGTTCACATTATTATTTCGAATTCTTATACTTAAAATTTTATTTGCCCCATCTATTTTTTTAAAATTCTTTTTCACCTTTTAACCTAAACAACTTTAAAACTTAATAACTTTTCAAAAAAAATTAGGGTTAGTTACAAGAAAAACAAATAAAATTAACTTAAGTAATAGCTAAAAGAATAAGAAACTGGTAAACTTAATAAAATTTTAAATAAAAACTTTTTGGACCATAAAAAAGTTAAAATTCTATAATAAAAAGTAAGCAATAAGGTTTGTTCAGAAAAATTATTAGCAAATGAAAATATAATTTTCTGCATTCTACAAAGGATAGCGAAAACTAAAACTATGATTGAAACTTTTATTTTTAAGATAATTCTTATAACTAATAACACTAGATGGATTCTTTGGAAGTTAAATTGTCTAAATAATAACTAAGGAGAATTTACTTAAACTTCACAGGTCTTTCCAGAAAAGAACGTGGATAATATTATCTTTATTATAATTCCAACTACCTTAGTATGGCATTAAAGCAACTGCATTTCTGTCTGGACTTAATAAAAGTTTTTTCGTTTGTTACTTATATACATAATCTTTCCTGATGCTTTAAGTACTACAAACTCAGCTCATGTAGAAGAGATAACGTACGTTAATGCGAAAGTGTATCTCTCTTGCTCGTTCTCCGCCCCCACTCTCCTTATCCACTCCATCGCATATATAGAGAGAAAAAATTCCAATTATTAGAGGGGGCAAAGGGTGTGATATCAGAGCCGAACGGAGCTTTGTCTAACAGTTGCTTGACGAAAAGTGGGATGGCACTCGCGGTCTTAAATATTCAAGGGGTGCGTTGACCACTCTGCCGGACGAAGGAAATGCTGCCTCGTTAAATGTCTTACCCATTTAACGAAATTGAAATTTTGATATGGAACCGCATTCTCAATGAGATACAGCCACTTTGCCGATAGCTTCAAAAACTGTTTAGAATTTAGTCACCTTGCAGCTCAGATTTAAAATTTGAATTATATATTGTCTATTAGGTACCTTTTATAATCAACTGCTACAAATATGTATGGTATATACATATTTTTTTAATAAAACACACGAATGGGATTATCCAAAACAATCTCCTTAGAATGTTTTCAGGCGTACCTTGGTTGTGTGAAATGCCCAATTACGTCATGAATGTGAAATTGAACCTCTTTTGCTTTACCTTAAACGGATGACTATAAAATATTTTACACAATATGAAGGACACCCCAACAATTTAATAACCTAACGCCTTGAACTATACTCCTACGCATTCTTTAAAATTTAATAGACAAACATTTTTTGGGTCTATCTTAGAAAACTGCTGGCTATTGAAACGTTTTTAGAACATTTATTACATGTTACAATATTTTAAACTTTTTTTTTGGAGTGGGAGGAGGAAATGTGTTAAACGCTTAAATCGCAAAGGTATTGCTGTCTTTATGTTATGAGAGGTGACCCGAGAGGCCTTAATTTATAGAAGAGGTCACTCTCCTCATCCCTCTCCGTAATGAGGGAATTTAGATTAAGCAGTTTAAGTTATAGCAGGTATAACGACTGTAGTACATTAAAGAATAAATAAATAAATAAACACATGGACGGCTCGACCATATTCTCCTGCTCTTTCTTCCTTTCTTTCTTTTTCGGTTTATACCACGTTGTTAGTGTTTTAATTTTATATTGTTCTAGAGGGATTAGCGATATTAAAAAAGATTATAGCTTCTTTTTAGTCTAGAGGGCGTTACAGCTGAAGTTATTAAATGACTTAGTAGTCTAGAGAATAGAGAATAACTAAGTACGAAATTAAATAGTTTTACTAAATATTTTAAACAGATTTAGAAACTTTATATAAACAAAAACTGCTGGGCAGATATTTCCATAACTGTTGTTAGGTAATAATTAATAGAACAACTTATTTGCTACCCGTATCCTGATAAACTCTTGTATCCTAAGTCAGGTGCGACACTAATTTATATTCTTGTGAAGCAGGATAAAACTTCAACTTTTTGCCCTTCGTTTGTTTTTTTCTGTCGCCCACATAATTTTATTTTCGGGCTCCTCAGTTTTATGTATTTGTAACAACAAAGATTTTAGTTGCTGATTCCAACAGCATTACTATGGTCACAGTCTTTTATCGCATTCAGAAGTTCCACTTCTCCATTGTTTTTAAGCCCTCTAATATTTGTACCAAATTTTTGACTTCTCGAAGCTGAAGAACATTAACTCCTTTTTATCGGTTATCTTAGTTTACTTTGCCACAAAAATAGTGGTCTTTTCCTTGATTTATGATCCAAAATATTGGATCCGTACGTACCTTTTAGTGTATCATCTACTACTATTATAATAACATGGTTTTCCCGTTTAAGTAGTTTGTTGTGCTAATCTTCACATGTTATATAAGTTTATTTGAGAGCGGGACAGCAATATATATGAGTGATTATCGGGTAGAGGTTTTGCGAAATAGGTTGTCGGAACATATCTTAACTTAACTGATTAATAATCGATAAAAGTTAATTTTTCAATTCTCAAAGCGGTATACCATGGTTGGCATTCCTCTCCGTTAGTTCTTGTGTCTCTAGTAACAGGGTATTATGCCTCATTTGCTATTAAATCTCATTTAACATCCCCAGTTAGTGTTGTGGCCTATACGACTAGAAATATAACAACTATACAAAAGGTGTAAAAACTCTGGGTAATAAATACTCACAAAGGCTTAGGCTAAGATTTGTGTTATCATAAGTAGAGTACTATATCTATCCTAATTTCCTCAGAAGAGATAGTAGTTAAGCTTTAGAGGTAGATAGAACCTATATTAAAACTTAGACTAAATGCCCGTTTAAGTTGACCGTTTACATATATTGCACCTAGAAACCAATACAGATTCACCCGATGCTAACAAAAAAAAAAAATCCTAGTATATTTCGATTTAAATCTAAATTTAGGCTTTTTACAAAGTACAGGACCAGGGTTAACATATTTAATTATTTAATGTTATCTAAGCCGACTGATTTAATGGTTGGCGGTAAATAGTTCCATTTAGTTTTTTAATAACAACGGACAATCGAGATGTAGCATTTTTATTCTTTAGTTAGCTGATGAAACCCATTTGGCTTAGTGAGCTAAGGCGAAAGAACGTCAAACGACCGTTCATGTGCGCCTTTATACTTGTTTTTAGGAGGAGTTTTTTTCAAATCCCCTTATTATAGGGGGATTAGAGTTTTATAATAGAACCTGGGGAAATACTATATATTTTTGGTAGATTCACTATTAACTTCGCATAGACCCAGTGCTTAATGAAGGCGGTTAGTGTAGGTACTAGTAAATTTAGTTTAGATCTAGGCAGGTTTCCAACCAAACAATGGCGACATCTATTAAGTTCGACCAGTAATGTTTAACAAAATACTAATACCCAATGCTTACTGGATTCTATAATATAACCACCACCTCTTTTAATACACCTTTCACATCGACCTTTCCCTCTTTTTACTCCGCGAAAAAATATTGTGAAACTTTTTCTGCAAATGCTCATCTACAGCCACCTCAATTCGTTTTCATTGGAAAATTTTTATCACGTAACGCCTTTTAAATTTTTAAACAAGTAAAAATCGCTGGGAGTCAGCGATGGCCTATAGGATGGACGGTGAATTTCTTCTAAATTCGTATCTCGTATAGCACGCTTTACAAGTTCAGCTGTGTGAACCGACGCGATGTTTTGTAATATTTTGCTTTCACAGTATGTAAGTCTCCGAAAACTTGTATATTATAGACAGCGAAGTAATATCATATACATATAAGTATATTATAGACAATAAAGTAATATAGTGCAAGATAGTCGAAGTACTAGAAAGCACTATAAATTTATTTAATTATTATAGACTCCCAGACGCACGAAACCCAACCGCACAACAAACAAAGAAAAAAGAAAAAAAACTGCAGTAGGTACGCGAAAAAATATTTTTTATAATCACATGTGCACTTCCCTCGAACTCTACCCTACTATAAACAGCTAGTAGAATTTCTCTATTTTGTCCTTGGGTTTCTCAGAAATGACTGATAAAGTCGGCATATTTTTTTTTGCCATTGCCTTAAGTTTAGTAGCCACACTCGGAACCTTGAACTTGTGTTGTGGCCTTTCTATCTTTTTTATCTATTTCATGGAACTCTTGTTTAATACTAAATTATACTGATAAACCCATGATTCATCACAGGTTATAATGCGATGACAAATCACATCTAAATCATCCTCACATAAACGAAGAAAATTACGCAAACTTTCCACTCTTCGTTCCCGAGCTAGCGAGTTAACTCTTTTGGGTACCCAAAGCGTGCTCACTTTGCGATCTTAGTTCCCCTGCTATCTGACGAACCCGAATTCAACGGGCTTTGAGGATTAACATTTTCTTAACGGCCGTGCAAAACGGTCCAGAATGCTCCTCGTCTTTAATAAACAGCCAAGTCTACCTTGTGTCCGTTGCATATGATGGAGCAC